CTTGCGAGTTGCGATAATCACCTCGGAAGATCAAATGACCTACATAATAAACCAAAACAGAGGATTGAACTTAGTAAGGTCCAACAATCGAACTATGCTTAAAAACTAAGTTCTAGGGATATCAAGATGAAGCTGTACGTAGCTTTCTTAAGGCCAAACTTTTTTTGTTTTCCGCTTTGGGTCGAAAATGATATGCTTGAAATTGCTTATTTTGGCGATTTATGTGAGTGTAGCAGAGATAAGAACCTGGTTCTTACGATGCATGCTAGTTGCTGCTACGGTATGGAAAGTAAGCTTCACGATCCCAGGCTTCAAGATTGGAAAGATTTTATGTCTTTACCACTTCCTCTAAAACAGTGCTTTAGATTCCCTAAAATGTCTGTACTGGGTTGAATCAAACAGTTAGAGAAATCCAACAATTATGTAGTGGCGTCAAAAATTAATCAGACTCTAAAACAACCATTTTAAACATGTTTGAAGGGGTATTAATAGGTACTTCTGTGTTAGAAAACTATAAAGATTTAGAATCCATCAACCTAAGAATACATCCATCTCTGTAACGGGTATCCTTATTTCCTAATTCTAATTGAGAGATGAATTTTGATTCCCAACTTTGCAACATATGTAAGGAGGTCTATGTTTGTGACCTATATTAAATAATCAGAAAATTTAAGTGCCTCATTTGAATTGCCTTTACGGCTTTCACCTGCAACACCAATGCTCTAATGATTCTAAATAGTATTTGTCATTGTCTTCCAAATTCACATATTTGTACACTGTAACAACCTGAAAAAAACACGTACAAAAGTTAAATAAAAAGGTATGTCTTGATTTAGGTGCCGTTGGAGAGTAGCTTTTGCCTTTGTAATTGTTAGAGAGTAGATTAGGGGTCAGAAAAAGTCAATAATACGTTTGTTTCTCTACTGTGTATATCTTACACATACCTTTGTTTCAATGTGAAGAAATTCTGCACCCATGAGTCTATTGCCATTTTTAACCTACCAAAACTGAATCAGCCTGACCAACACTTGTCTTTACAGAAATCTCCATAGAAGTCATCAAACTTTTTGTGGGTGAGTGTCTTGGGATAGGCACTAGTAGCTCGTGGAGCCATAGTCTGTAAAGTTGTTTTGGGTGGGAGATGATGTGATTATTCAGCTGTGAGAAGAATAATTTATAATTATCTTTGAAAAGAAGCTTGATAGACAACTTAGTGGGAATTAATTGGAAGCAATTGAAAGCAATTATAAAATGATTTAAGAGATGAAGTGGCAACTATCGTGCAATGGTTTCAAGTGAGTAAGGCGAATCGATTGTAATTATAAGTATCAAGGGAAAGGGATAGTAATCGTTTCATTGCAAGAGATACTTAGGTTAGGATGGGATATCATGTTTTCTATTTTGTTTGGGCTTTTGTTTTAATTTTACACTGACTTAAGGAAGTGATGACGTGGCTGCTTGTGGGAGAACTCTAAATTTGCTGATGTGGATAGCTTTAGGAGCCTCAAACAGCTTCTTTTATTTAGTATAGATGATTTCATATTAATCACATACAAATTATCCGGTTGTGGAAGCCGCTACGGTTCAATCAAAGTTACTACTTTAAAAACAAAATACTACTATCATTTTTATCTATAAAATGTGAAGAACAAAAATAATAAAAATTATAGGAAAACACAGCTGCTATATCTTCAGAGATAAATTGCTTATATTGAAGGGAAAAATATCTCTCCCATTTACCTTTTCTTGTTCTTTTGGTGTCTAATTTTCATTCGAAGCCCTAATGAGGTTTTTTCAATTGGTTTTTTTAGTTATTTTGATATTATCACATAATAACATTAAAGAGCTAGTACTTTCGATACTCAAGAGCTTGATTCAATAACATTCTAAGACCCTTCACATTATTACTAGTTAGATCTTTTTCAGTCAATCAAAAAGAAATTCTCATAATCTTTCTCGTAGCTATATCAATGGGCGCTTATACGTAAACTTTCGCACAAGGTAAAGAAAAGACTGAGATTTCATGAATTCTAAAGCCTCGAGACGAGACAACGCATCCAAAATCTCCTAGATTGTTCAAGCAGGTTAAGCTGATCGATGAACTTTGTTTTAAAGATTTTTCTAATGAGATTCTTTTCTTCCTAGATTTGGAACCATATTTTCATACTAATACTGCACGTACGGATTGGTGCTTAAAATTACGATTTTGAAACTTACTTGATTCTTGATTGCGAAATTTACATGGTGTTGAACGTTTTAGATTTGTTATAATCTCACAGATCTTTTTTTTTTTTTGTCGTCGTTAAAACTGAAGTATGTCGAATCTTCAAGTTTTTCGCCCAAATGAAAGTTAAATGTTAGCAGTAATGCAATTTTTTGGTGTACTAGGTATTTACCCGCGCTATGCTGCAGGATATTTTTCTAGATTTGTATATATTTTTAATATAATAAAATTATTTATATATTTTAAATGAGTATTATATTTATTTTTTATTAGCTTAAGTTATGTATTTATATATTTTAAATCTGAATAAATATTATATATCATTAATTTTTTTATTTTTTTAAGTTATAATCTACTATCAAATTTGTTTAGCTAACTATCTATAAATGTATATATAAGAATAAAACAATACATTTTTAAGTATCTTCAAGCTAATGGTAGATGTAATTTATTTTTTCTACTAAATTGCTACTTGATCCTCCTTTGAAATTATATAAAGCAAATTGTTATTTAAAAAAATATTAATTAATATGATTATTTTAAATTATAAAATTTATTTATTTATCAAGTATTTATTATAGACATATGTTTTTAAAACTACCAAACTATAATCAATAACATTCATATCAAAATCATTACTATTACTTTAGACCTAAATAGAAAGTTCTATTTGAACTGTTGAAATATCAATTTAGTTATAGTTAAATAATTCAATTTTGGTTACTATAAACATATTATAACTTGAAAATTTAGCACAGAGAAATTTTATCTTTTTACAAAAACCGAGAAATTGTATTTTCCGACAAAACAAAAAAAAAAATATTTTCCACGAAACTAAGAAAACGCCTATTCCCGCCAAAACCAAAAAAATTTATTTTCTCGTCAAACCTGAAATTTCATTTTCCTACCAAAACAAAGAAATTGCATTTTTCCTCAAAAACCAAAAAATCACATTTTCCCGCGAGAACTTTTGTTTTTCTGTCAAAACCAAAATATTTCGATAATCAGTGGAAATGCGAATCTCCAAGCTGTGGTGGTCTGGGTTTCTTCTTATTTGCTTTCGCCTTCTATTTTTTTTGTAAACTTTTGGTTTTTTAATGGGTGAGCAAAATAGTAAATTAATTTTATTAGTATGTTAATAATATGTATTATTGTTATGTTTTTATTGGTTCAAATTTTTGCTGATGTGTGAGCTTCTTATAACATAACGCATAATAAATTTTTGCTGATTTTATAAGCATAGTTGATGATGAGTCTACACTTTCTTAAATCATATACATCTCTATCAAGCAAATACATAGTTAGAAATTTTAACTTTTTATGCTGTTATTTATTATTTGAGTTTCGGTTTGGCAAAAATATAAAACAAAGATTTAATTTTATTATTTGTTGTTATTTATTATTTGAGTTTGTTAAAAAAAATAAAACAAAATTTTTTTATTTGCTGTTATTTATTATTTGAGTTTGGGCTTGACCAAAAAATAAAACTAAAATTAACAATAAAAAATATTTGAGTTTTTAATGGGTTTAAATTTAAAAGTTAAAATAAATTGATGACTTGTATTAATGAAATGTTTTTATTGGTGTCTTTTTTTTTTGCTAAAGTGTCATCTCCTAAAAGCTTGAAAATGCTGATGTGTCAAACCATAGAGAGACTTAGACCATGTCCAATGGTAGAAATTTTTTGAGGTTCTGATCATTAAAAGCAATTAAAAAAATGAAAAAGTAGGAGAGAGAGAAAGAAAAGTTTAGATATAGATTCTAAAGCCTCTGATTTAAGAGGCCATCTAAACAATTTTCTGATACTCTTAAAACATGTGTTATTCAACTATTAGTTTGCTTCTTTTTATTATTAAAATTAATTATTTTATTAAATTATAATAATATAATATTTTTAGAAGACATCTCTCTCGTTGGAGATGCTCTTATAGATTATTGTTGTGTTGATTGTATCTTCAAATAAATTATATAATAGTCTTTTAATAAGACGACAGCTAAGAATGATGAGTGAGAATGTGGTGGATTTTTTATGTGTGTATATATAATTCGACTATCAGGAAACCTCGAAGAAGTGATCTCTTATAATTCACGTATAGATTTACTTTACTTAAAGTACGTAAATAATGAACGCTTATATAAAACGTAACGAGATGGCTTTGTACAGAGAGTATCGATGGAGCAAAGTTGGGGTTTGTACCGTTTGGTACTTTGGTGGTAATGGTAAATTGGTAATGAAAGAGCTTTGTGTGTTTAGGGTTTTGTCAAATGTCAACTCACGAGGAGGTTCAAATTGTACTTACGGACTCAACATTGATGTACTTTTTTGAATTCCTTACAAACACAAATTAAAAAAAAAATTGTGAGTTTTGACATTGACGGTTTTATATGAATTTTTTAGTATTCTCAGATTTGATATCTCATATATTTTATTTTCCCGAATAAAACAATCATATGTTAAAAATCGTCGTGGACTTCCCGGAAATGTAGGCACAACACCCTCTTCCCATAAATGTTGTAATCAAAGGATAATAGTAAAAATTAGTATTCTGGAATCAATGTTTGGATGTTATACAAATAAAATATTCTTATAATGTTTTTAAAATAGCTCTTAAGTTGTTGACTAACAAAAAAAAAATTACATCTGAAAGTTTGTTAACATACATATATATAAGAATGATATAATGAATTTCACGTTATAGCAATATTAACTAAGTAAACGCAGCTAAATAAAGGAAGAAAGAGAGATGGTGCTATTAGTCATTTTAATTATTGGCCTATTGTAGAATCGTTGACTTACATGAAGCTTATAAAACGAGAGAACAAAGCCTTTTGAATCATGCAGATTACACATCATAATAAGAGACAGAGAGAAAGAGAGAAGATCGATCAATGGAGAAAAAGGTTTTATACGGTTTAGTAGTAATGCTAACGTACTTGGTGGGAAGTGGCTTTAGTCAAGGTATAACTTAACCATCTCATATATAATTATATATATCAATGGACGTACCTCTTCTTTGTTTGATCATCTACTGATTCGATGTATATATATATATACGTAGTGAAAAATGAAGAAGCTGAGTGGGAACTACTTCTCACGGAGGCCCAGCAACCCATAATTGCTACGGTAACGTCCTCGTTGTGCGGTGTTCCCTGCGCTTTATTGGAGGAGCAAGTGTACCAACTGACCAAAACCTACGGTGACCAGATTATATTCTATAAAGCCGACATAATAGAGAAACCATTCTTTGCAAAACTCTACAAGGTACTCCGTGTCCCGACCCTCATAGTCTTCAAAGGTGGCAAAGAAATAAAACGTCTAGAAAAAGGTTTCTATTGGGGTGCAGTATATGACCTAATAATAACTGATCCAAACATACTCTCTTCCTCCGATTCCTCTACTCCACTATTCGACGCGCTTCAAAACGCTACATCCAATTCAAATACACTCTCTCCCTCCGATTCCGCACCATGCAATTGTTCACTATTTGAAGCGATTCAAAACGCTACATCATCATCTTGGGAAGAAACTGTGGTCGAGGCTCAACTTCCCATAGTGCTTACGCTCACGTCTCCCTTGTGCGGTGATCCCTGCGTTAACCTGATGAGTCAAGTGGCTCGTTTGGCCGAGGCCTACGGTAACCGAACTATATTCTTCTATACAGCCGACATTTTGGAGGAGCCGTTCTTCGCACGACTTTACAAAGTAGTCATTGCTCCGGCCGTCATAGTCATCAAAGACGGAGAAGTAGTATTTCGTTATGAAAGACTTTCTAATTGGGGTAATATATATGACTTACTATTTGAGTCAGTTATATTCGATCCCGCTTTGTCCCCCTCCGATTCCCCTTCTCCCAGCCCTTCTCCCTTCTAGAGAGTAAACTATAGAGTCTTTTCTTGAATCAGTAACGTCTCTTTATATGTATTTGCGTCTAATTAATTATTGTGTGTATGTTGCTTCCTCTTTTAAACATTTGCCTATGTTATATAAAAGTTAATAAAATTGGTAAAATATAATATATATGATCACTAAGTCATTGATTCAATTCCTATAGTGAGATTCGTCGAAATAAGACAAAAAAACAAAAATCCTATAGTTAGAGCCGTTACCATCATTAAACAAGAACGTCACAGATGTTGTAGTACTCCGAGATTTGACCATCCACAAATGAACCAGTTGATTCTAAGTAACATATTGTCACAAATGTTACAAACTTACGAATTTTAATTTGATGAATAACATTTTAACAAATGTAACATACTTTTAACATTTTAAAACCAAAAGAAAAAGAAAAAACAAATTCATTTGTAACATATCAAAATCAAGGTAGTGGTTACCAAACACTAAACCATATATAAAAGCCTCCTCCACCACATCTTTTTTCTCCATCACAAGAACTAGAAGAAGAAGAAGAAGAAGAAAATGGAGAAAGCAATCCTCATAGCGTTTTTTCTCGTAGCCACATCAATGGCTTATAATCAAGCTCTCGCTCAAGAAGAAGATATCATCATCAGTCCATCTCCAGAAGAATTTGCAGACGAGCCAGCTGCATTTTACGACCATGAACTCCTACACCACATGACGACAGAACGAATCCGATTTCTCCAAGAGTGTGCGGACAAGATGAGCTCGAAATGCGGGACGGAGATTTCGGAAGGGTTGGTCTACGACAAGCCCGTGTCGGAGGCTTGTTGTGAGAACGTGTTGAGGATTGGAATAGATTGCCACGAAGGGTTGATGAGTTTTGTTTTCGCTACGTATGAGCTAAAGGATGTTGCTGATGAGATTTTTCCTAGGAGCAAGAAGATTTGGAACCAATGTGTTCGCACTACTGCTGCTCGGATTGGTGCACCTATCGCTTATGAAACTTGATTCTTGATTGTGCTGTAATATTATACATTTATTACACATATAGTGTGGATTTGTTATGTTCTCACCTTGAATTTACCAAAAGTGAAAATCGAAAACATATTACAAAAAATGAAAACAACAATGACTGAAAAGGATATTCAAATGAAAGTTAAAAGATGGTAGTAATTCATATGATGTTACCCGTGGTCTTCATACCTCTGATAAGTATCTATTCAGAAAAAGATGGGCAAAAATAAGAATTGAAAAAGGTCTTAAAATAGTGATCTCATTAAATTATATTGAGACGATACTAAATTCATTTTATCGGTAGGGTAAGTCTTCTTTTTTTCTAAGTTAATTCTCATTAACTATTTATTTTCTTAATAGATCTGTTGATATAATGTTTTTTATGAATAATAATACTTTTAATAGATTTTATGTATATCATAATTAAAAGAATATTATGTTAAAATTTGCATTATAATCTAAATTATAGATATGTTAATTGATATCACCATAATTTATATAATTTTAAAAGTTTTATAAAAAAAACATGTTATTGTGATATAGTTGTATAATATACTAAATATTTTGTAAATGCTAAAATGTATATTTAAAATTTCAAATGGTGATAATAGACCAAAGGAGGCAAAAAAAGATAGATCACATAGATCAAGAAGAAACTAGCAGTTCAAATTCGAGTACGATTTTTACTTTCGGTCTTTTACTAAAAAAAAAAAAAAAAATTTTTACCAAAAAAAGAAATAAGGCAAAATAAACAATGAAAAACAAGTGGAACAAAAGTTAAATGATAATTTTAATAAATGTGATATAAATATTATAATTTACAAAACTTTAGCCCCATTAAACCGATACGGGTTTCTGTATGCCATTTGTATGTGTTACTGAATATTCAAGGTACTGTATATTCTTATCTTAATGATGTGGTTACAACCATTTTTTGACCATATCATAATATCTAGTTGTAAATAGTCAAAAGTAAAGGTAAAAGATTATTCTTATTCGAGTAAACCACCATTGGATTCTTGTTGGCCATTAACAAAAATCATCACGAGCGACAAAAAACAAGAAAAGGAATAATTAGTAATTAATAGTACTATCAAAAGAAATAAATGGATAAGAAGACATCGAGATCCGCGAGACAAGTCTTATCTAAACAAAAAATCACAGTCATCTCCACGTCAATTTTTTTTTTTTTTCACTTTTCGTGAAATATCAAAATTCCTCAAACAAACCTATAAAATCGACTCTTTCAACACTTTCTTCTCCATCAAAAACATTCATTTTTACAGATTTTACTCATATATTATCCCCAAAAAAAAAGCAAAATATTCCAAAAATGTTGGCTATTTTTCAAAAGGCGTTTGCTCATCCACCGGAGGAACTTAACAGTCCGGCGTCAAATTCCTCCGGCATAAACCATAAACTTCCCGGAGAAACCCTCTCCGAGTTCCTCTCTCACCATCCCGACACAGCTTTCTCCATGAACTTCGGTGATTCCGCCGTTCTCGCATTCGTCCGCCCGGAGAACTCTCACCGTCAAAGGTTAACAGACACATCTCTTGATTTTGTTTCTTGCCGGAAAATCAAATTTTTAAACTTTTATGGATTTTTGGTAATTTCTTCAGGGTGTTTTGTGGAATCGACGGAATCTACTGTGTGTTTCTTGGGACATTGAACAATCTATGCGACTTGAACAAACAGTACGGTTTATCTGGAAAAACCTCAAACGAAGCTATGTTCGCGATCGAAGCTTACCGAACACTTCGTGATCGTGGTCCTTACCCAGCCGATCAAGTTCTCAGAGGTCTCGACGGAAGTTTCGCCTTTGTCGTCTACGATACTCAGACCTCCTCTGTTTTCGCAGCTCTGGTAAAAACTTAAAATTCAAACAAAGATCTGACATTTCATTAGATGAAATTCGAGATTTTTCTTTGTTTTACAATGTTTTTGAATATGTTTCAGGGATCTGATGGAACAGAGAGTCTGTATTGGGGAATAGCTGGAGACGGGTCTGTTGTTATGTCTGATGATCTCAAGATCATTAAGCAAGGTTGTGCGAAATCATTCGCTCCTTTCCCCACTGGTAAGCAAGCAAGCAGATCCAATTGATAACATGTGAGCTAAAGAGTTTATGTAATTTGGAGATGTAAGTGAATGTGTGTTTTGTGGTGTAATGTTTTTGCAGGATGTATGTTTCACAGTGAGTCTGGTTTGATGAGTTTTGAGCATCCGAAGAACAAGATGAAGGCTATGCCTAGGATTGATAGTGAAGGAGTTATATGTGGAGCTAACTTCAAGGTCGATGCCTTGTCGAAGATCACTAGCATTCCGAGAAGAGGAAGCGAAGCTAATTGGTCTCTGGCGAATTCGAGCTAATAACGGAAAAGATGAAGAAGAATGATCGAAAAACCAGAGTTGTTTGTTCTTTAATTTCTGTTCTGTTCTGTTTTTGTAAATAGCCTGGACGATGCTAATAATAATAAACACTCTTTCTTTTTCTCTCCTTTTACTTACAGAACCAGTTTCATTTCAAGGAAACATATCATTGTAATACAAAACTTTGATTCTGTTTGATCGTGCGCAAATAGAAACGGAAAAGCTATAAATAACAGTAAGACGGACAAAAGCTGATTCAACTTCGTGAAATCATTCATCTTTCCACATATCTGCAAACTCATCAGGCTCCAATGGGTTTGAGAGCTCATGCATCTTTCTCCTTGTCTTTGCCTTGATCTTCTTTGCAAATTTCCCGGCTTTATTTCTTTTCTCCAGTGCTCGAATCTAAAGATAGATATCGACGAAGATTATATAATTTGTGCATCGAAACTCCTAAAGACTAATGAGTTTGAAAATATTAAGATCAAGCAGAGCACTAATTAATAGAACCTTGGACCGACCTGGTTTGGAGATACGTAGAACGGGTTCTCGTAAAGTGTTGGTCCTCCAAAGCTCCCTCCGAATATCTTGATTGGATTCAGACAGAACCTTGGACCGACCTGTCATCAATAGTGTACATATGCTTCAATGAAAACCACGGGTGGAAAACTATTACAAGTTACAAACTCTTTGTCTACAAAGTACTACAAACCTCGACAAGGGTCATTTTGTCCAGGCCACCTCGTGCAATCTTGTCTGGCTCATTGTGAGGAACCGAAATCTGGTAGTTGCGGAACCATATATGTTCATCGACAATGGAGAAGACGAATACATGGTCATGGTAAGGCTTTGATTTCCTGTGTTCCTTAGGAATTCCAAATATCTGAGGGAGAAACAAAATCAAAATTAGGAATGTTAAAGTTAACGAACCAATCAAAATGAACCGAGAGAATGAAGAATCTGGCAAGGACCTGAGTAAGCATCTCCTTCAAGAGTTTCCAGTGCGCATCTTTGTCAAAATTGGATGAGAATGTCAAAAGCGGGCGTGACCCTTTTAGATGATTTCCAGTGAGTTTCAGCTCTTCCATCGTGTGCACTTCAAAACAGACAGAAAACAAAAGCGAAAACGCTTTTAGCACTCAGAAATCGAACAAGATATTAAGATTTATCAGCCCTTGTCTCAGTTTTATATAAAACTAAAGTATGAGATGTTAGAGAGAGACATTACCAGCATTAACCAAGAACTTCACCGACGGTCCACTGGGAGATTTAACCATCCATAGGTAAAGATCTTTATGTTTCCTACACTGAAAAATGGGGAAAAGAAACAAACACAACTCAATCAATAAAGTCCATTTATACATAACATAAGCTTGCATTGAGAATTCTAAAGACTTGTCACACATTCCACACCAAATTAACAAAAAGCTTAAGTTGATAGATGAGAAAGTAACTACGAATAGTAAAGATGGAAAATTTACCTCGAAAAACATACAAGAAGAAGACCCTTTAAGCTCAATGAGCTCATTCAAAGTCGCACCTTTACTGCTCTTAGCTTCAACTTTACTGTCTTTCTTACAGTGTGGCAGAAGTGACACCATATTCAACATCAGATGTCGATACCTTCAAACAAAACAAGAAAAAGTAAATCAATTTCCAGTAATTGCAACCCTAAAATCGAATTACCCAAGGAAATTCAAACGAATTCACTCACCTGAAACTGATACGACGGGAACAAGTGACCAAAACCTTCTCTTTATTCCTGAATCCAGAGGAAGACGAAGAAAGTTTAGATTCCTCAGCATCTTCGCTTTTATCTTTCCATCCCAATAATGTCCTCTTGGGTCTCTCCGGAGCAGTCTCATCGTTCTTCTTCTCCGGTGCCGGAGCTGTACTCTCGCTGTGCTTTCGCTTCTTCCCCATTTTTTTTCTTTCACAGAGACGTTGAAAGCAACGCAAATTTCTCTTTAGGGTTTTAGCAGAGAGTTTTAGGGTGAGAGACAAAAGCAGAGAGGTGAACCATGGGCTAAATCACTAATGGACTATCTTATTGGGCCTCACGTTAAGGCCCAGTACATCAGCCTTTTTGGAATTTTAAACTGCAACGACGTGACACATTGTTGTTTCTTCGAGATTCTCCACAGCAACCGCTTTAGAAGGAGAGTGAGAGAGATGGGAGAACGGTTCTTCCGAAATGAGATGCCGGAATTTGTACGGGAAGAAGCCGGAGAAGATGAAACGGTTTCCGAAAGCAAAGGAACGCTGAAGAAACTGCTATCACTTCCGTACAGATCGTTCTCCGAGAAGCTTCGGAGATACGCTCTAAGCCTCAAAGATACGGTAACTCAATTTGGAGTTCTAGGAGCTTATGACTGAGTATACACTGAGTAATTGAGACGAGCGAGTTTTGGGTTTATCTGATATGATCATGTTTGAATTTACAGATATTTTAGTGGATTTTAGAAATCTACAATCTATATTATGGAATTTGCGATTTTGCCGTAATTTGATATTGGATTTGACGTGAAACTACTGAAATCGCAACTCTATATTCTGAATTCTCTTGTTTTGTGGGTGATTCTTTCATTCTTTCAGGTAGTGAGGGAGACATGGGAACGATCTGGAAAACGTGTTGGAGACTATACTCTGTACACTGGAGTTCTCGGGACAGCTTACCTCTTGTTCAAATCCTATCAGGTGACAAGAAACGAGGAAGATCTGAAGCTATGCTCAGAGATTGTTGAGTCTTGTTATGTGGCTTCAAGAGATTCTGAGTAAAAAAAAAGGCCTTTCTTTTAATAGCCATTTCATCATATAACGAAAAAGTCATATGAGTGATTCGGCATGATATGAGTGTTTCGGTTTTTATATCAGGCGAGTGACATTCATATGTGGGCAAGCTGGTGTATGTGCTCTTGGTGCTGTTGCAGCTAAGCATTTCGGTGATCACCAGTTACAGGATCGTTACTTATCCCGTTTCCATGAGGTAGTACTTCTTCCAGTTTCCATGAGATACATTGACTTTTGTACTTTGCTCGAGCGAGCCTTAAAACACTTGATTTTTTCACAACAGATTACGCTTCCTAGTGGTTTGCCATACGAGTTGCTATACGGTAGAGCAGGATACTTGTGGGCATGCTTGTTCTTGAACAAGCATGTAGGGAAGGAGAGTGTATCATCTGCAAGAATGGTACTATACACACTTGCTCTTAGTTATTTGACTCATCAAGAAAGTTCTACATAACCACCATCTCATTGTTTTCCTCAGAGATCCGTGGTTGAAGAAATCTTCAGGGAAGGAAGACAACTCGGGAAGAGAGGAGGAGGTTGTCCGTTGATGTACGAGTGGCACGGGAAGAGGTACTATGGTGCGGCTCACGGTTTAGCCGGGATCATGAACGTCTTGTTGCATATGGAGCTTGAACAAGATGAGATCCAAGATGTCGCCGGTACACTAAGCTACATGATTCGAAACCGTTTCACAAGCGGAAACTACCCATCAAGCGAAGGAAGCGAATCGGATCGACTTGTTCACTGGTGTCACGGTGCTCCTGGTGTTGCTCTCACACTCGTTAAGGCAGCTCAGGTAAAAATGTATTATCTATATCTTCTTTATTGGTACAAAACTCATCTCTGGATGTGTTTTTTGTTTCTTCAGGTTTTTAGGACACAGGAATCTGTAGAGGCGGCGATGGAGGCAGGAGAAGTCGTGTGGAACCGTGGATTGCTTAAACGAGTAGGAATCTGTCATGGTATCACCGGAAACACGTATTCTTTCTCTGTACCGGTTAACAGGAAAACCAGAGTACTTGTACCGAGCAAAGGCTTTCGCATCTTTCCTACTTGATAAATCAGAGAAGCTCATCTCAGAAGGTGAAATGCATGGAGGAGATAGACCACTCTCTCTCTTTGAAGGTGTAGGAGGAATGGCCTACATGTTTCTCGACATGAACGACCCAGCTCAAGCTCTGTTTCCAGGTTATGAGCTCTAAAAATGTATAAAAACTTCACTGTAACATACTGTAATGTCGAATAGCTGTCTATATTATATAAAGAATTTATACATCAAACCAAAAGGCAATGTGATCCAGACGCTTAAACGAATACAAGCAAGAAGCAAATCATTAACATAATATTCCTATTGATCAGTGAAGCGGATAAAATGGACAAACTGTTTCAGGGTTTTGAGGTTTTACTTGTTTGGATCTCTCACTTACTTAGTAAGGTGGGTTCTTGTTGTAATCATCTCGTGCACGAGAATAGCAGACGTAATAGAACTGAGAGACGATGGCAGTGAAGAGTGCGAATGAAGCACCAGCTGCAAACACACCTTTACGTATCACTTCACAGCTCGGTGGGTTATCGATGTTCCACATCTTCCTGTACTTAGTGTGGTACGCGTTTCTGATTGATGCCGCGAGCAAACATACCTCAGCGATCAGGAAAAACACCCTTTTCACACACACACACACAAACACACAAACAGAAGAATGATGGGTCAAGTCAAAATCCATGAAAACCTTATGATGATGTAACGTTATGATTGAGATTTTGTATATTACCAGCAAATGAGGAAGAGCATGATGGCACAAGCTCTTGAGCCGCCGGGGTTAAGAGCCTTGCCGCAGCAGAAGCACCGGCTAGCCACCATGATGATGACTTGACTGGTCAAGAGAAGCACAAATGCACCAGCTCCATAGCTTGTGGCAATGTCTGAGCCATACTCACAGTACTCATACACCTTCTCATTGTCTGGTACAACCTTACCCTGCAAGAACAAACAAAGATACCCCAAGAAACTTATAAGAAGATAAAACCACTAATCTGAAAGTTTCTCTACATGTACAACAACACACACCATTATACTGAGATCTAGCCATAGATTTCAACAATGCAGCAAGCAACAATCACCTACAAAGATCTTGAGTCTATAACGGTGAGAGAGCATTTTATGAATCAAACACATACACAGGGATACATCATTCATTGATACGTTTATCTTATTGCTCATGATTTTTGAATCAGATCTGAAAAAAGCTTCCACTGGAAAATATCGCACCGACAGAGACACGAAACCAGAATTCACTGCTTATTTGAAGTCTATACATTATTCCGATAAACTATTCCGATGTAGATAAGAAATTTCACAGCTGAAAATTGACTTCAGGGGAAGAAAAATCAGAAAGAGAGAGCAACGAAACAGTAGAGAAATGTTAGGGGGGGAGTGATGATTCTTACGACGCTTCTTCTTTGCTCGGCGGCAATGGCTAATCCAACAGCGATGAGATCTAGAATGAACACGATGATGATCACGAGCTTTGAAGCCATGGCGGTTTTCTCTGAGCTCTCTCTTTCTCTCTTTCACAAGCAGCTTTTTCTCTGGAGATTTCTCTTTCTCTTCCCCTCGAAGCTGTTTTCGTTTCTAAATAAGTAAATAGTAATAATTTATAGACGAAAAATGTCAAAAGATACTGTCACCGAATAAAGAAAATGAAATGACTCTCACACGAAATTGTTTTTTTTTCCCTTTATTTATTATACCCAAGACAAAAAGACAACGCTTATCTGTTGATTTAAACGATTATAATATTTTAAAATGTTAAGTAAAATATAGTATTAATATTAAATTATTAATTAGAGGACTCCTGCACGGGCATGCTTTATCTACGGGTTAATTAAAGTGATCATATACCTTGTTTAATAATTAAAGTCGTTAGACTAATTTCCCCCAAAAAAGATCGCAATTTTCTTAAACTGTTCGACTGGTTTTATATGGAAAAGAAACGTAAATTAGAAATGTTAATGAACAAAAAAAAAATAGAAATGAATTGAATTGCATGCGTTTGATAACAGTCACCGTCTTAATAAATTCTAGATCTAATATTCATGTAAATAAATGTGCACGGTTTAAACCGGAATCCGGTTTAACGGGTTAGGAGGCTGCGGTTTCTTTCACCGTCGATTGCATCTTGTCTTTCGCCAATAATACAAGTCCACGTGGGTCGATGATCTTTGGACTATTGCAAGTCAAAGTTGAAGATCTAGGTCAAAGTTGTGTCAGCTGATTCGCTAGATATCACATGGTCGAAGCTAATCAAGTAGCAAGCAATGTTAGAATAGAGTTAACAAACAGTAACACTAATCTTAATCTATCATCTCATAAGTTGGATTCTTAGTGAGTTTAGTTCGGTTTTATATTTCACACTTTTACCGGCCCACTCTTTAATAATGGGTCATCAGAAGTGGGCCTCTAAAATTCCAAGATTGAAGAATAGTGTGAGATCTTTTTCACTCTTCTGTCAAATACAGTAGATTGAATAAGTCAGTACATATTCGGTCAATAGTTGTCAAGAATAAGTCGGTGGTATTAGTAGAAATCAATTCTGGTCTCGAGCATATCTTAAAAAAAATGAAACACCCAAACAACACGGGCTTTATCGAATTGGGCCCAATACTTTGTTGTATTCCTTTGTTTTATTGTCCAGTTTTGTACTTGTCTTCAGTTCAAAGGACACAAGTCTTTATCCTTTACTTTCATCGTCTACTTGAGAAGAAGTTCTTTGACAATAACGTATCTTATCAAACGATTGCACGTATTCAACTGACCATGCGTAGTGATTAGAATGAAAAGAAAAAACAATCGAAATAAACATATGTTTTCTTGTCCCCATCGTGACTTGATCCCCTCAGCGTATTTGTGGAAAGTATGTAACATTTGTCGGCTAAAATAAATTATTAAAAATCAAAAGAGAACACAAACTTTGTGTAAATTAATTTTTAAATATTTGAAGATCCTAAACAGCAGAATTTTTTTAAAACAAGAAAATTATAGTTTATGATTTGCCTCAGTAGGTCTGTTTTCCGTTTAACAAGGGAGATCTATTTTCATCGTAGGTCTCTTTATATTTTCGTTTTATGCTGAAACCCGAACGACATTTTTGTATTAATAAGTATATAGTAATTGTTTTTGTCATGTAAATTTATAACCTAATTATTTTGTAATGGCTTCATCATAAATTTTGAAAGTATGTATACGTACATATTGCACGCTGAAAACATGCAAAATAATTGTTAAAGTTCTAAGTTATTAATGAGTATAAATTTTTATAAGGCTTAGTAAGAAATTAAAATCAACTATTGTATTGTACGTTATTGATGCTTATTCCTATACTACGAAGCTTTTTAACTAACATGATAGATAATTGTAACATCTGTCAATTTTAACTGTGACATAATAACCTAGGTTTCACAAAAATATCGTCCAAAAAAGTTTTACGTCATAGCATTAATTTATATCATATATCTCTTATATATTTACAATATGTCATAATAATACTTTGACGAAAATGACAAAAGATACTGTGATCGAATAAAGATTATAAAATGACTCTCACATGAAACGTTGAAAAGAACAATCCTACATAAATCAAATTGAAAACATTTTATAAATTTCGATTTCAAGTTTGAAAAAAATATATTTTATGATTTTAAAATTATAATTATAATTATAATTTAAATATAAAGAAAAAATTTGAAAGTATAGAGATATATTGTTATTTTTAGTTCAAATATACAAAAAATTAGGTTAAATAAAAGGAAAAATGAATTGTTCTGAATTTTTAGGTTTTTTTCAATAAACAAGACAAAAAGACTACTTATTATAAATTTGTAGGCAAGATATATAACTCCAATCATCTTTATCTTTAATTATGTCTTGAATTTGTGATATTTCAATCAAATTATTTATGATTAATGTTTGGTGTTTTATTATAATATATATATGTTTTCAGAATGTATATATGTTTTCTAAATTTTCTTTTTTAAAATCGCTTTCACTCTTTCAAGCACTTTTAAAAAAATGTTTATAGAGAATAATTTACTTGTCTGGAGAGACTAGAACTCTGATAAATAACCAATTTATTTTGGGTAACCATTTTAAAAAGTAGCGATACTGTTTGATAGACATAAAAAAACAAAAGACACAAAAAATATGTCTTTTACTCTCTTATCTCATATATAAGAGGAAAGGAAATTTCAACCACATTGGTAGCTTCTTTGACGGGAAATGGTCAAACCTGTTTCAACGACTAGAGTATTTAACCATACCTTTCTTATTCTTCATTCTTCTTATAACGTACATTCAAATCAACCATGTTTAATATTTTTACTTCGAAATTTGTATATTAAATTATGCACACTTATAAATTATTTAGAAGTATACATTACACTGATTATGTTGAAAGATATCAACTCTATTGTGTATAATGATATTTGTTTTATAAACCAATATTAATTCTCTGTTAAAACTTAAAAGTAGTCTTCTAATAAATTATAAACTTACTATTGTCTCAATATAATGGCCACACGAGAAATTAAAACTATTGATACTAGTTTCATTTCATTTCCGTCAAAATTTTATATAAGTTTTCTATAATTATGTTCAGTACAAATTGTGTCTTATACCTTAATGATTGATTACAATATTTTTAAAATTTTCAAACATTCTAAGTAATATACAGAACCCTGTAATTCAAAATTTAATATGACTAATAAGGAGTTTAATTTTGACAAAGATATAAGAAGTTTACTTAACTATTTAAACATTATATGACTAGATCTTATTGAGCATTTAGGTCTTATATAACATAATTTGTTAACACTGGTCATATTTGAAAACTATATAGTATACTCTGGTCGTTACATAATTTGTGATATATTTCCTGTCAAAACGAATTATAGTAGCTAGAGAAACTTATATGCTATAATATATTATAAATAATAAAATACAGTGAGTACTAATCTTCTTGACGCGGAAAACGTCTATTAAACATTCCTCTTATTTTGTTCAAAATCCACCACTTCTCTTCTTGTCTTCTTCTCCGATTCAAGCCCATTGAATCACGACAACTATACTTCAAAACCTTATATATATACACACAAATACATACATACAGAGTTACAGATACACACACACACACACCACAAAGCCTCT